TTATAAACTGTTGAATCTTCTGTCTACAATGACTGGTGGCTACTAAAGATATTCTCACTTAAATTATTAATTTATCTTACCTGTTTAAACAGTTATTAAACTTTTCTTTACGATATTTTGTAACCGCAAAATCCCTTAATGAAAGACCTAATATTTCAACATTCCGTTCTTCACTTTTCACTTCGTAATATAAAAAACTCATTAATTCATCTCACGCGTTAACGAGATCTGAGATCTCCAGTACAGCAATATCTTTCAGGTTCGATGACATGAACAAACGATTGTTTTAAATAACAAAAATGGTTGTTGCTATAATATGGCTCCTATAAGTGGATGATTAAAAAAAATGTATAATTGTAGATGTATTGGATTTTTTATTGTGCAAAAAAAATTCTTAACCTACCTAGCGAAAAAAATTAAGAAATTATTTTGAGCACAAATTATCGAGTTTTAAAAATTTTTGGGTGGGATATTTTATTTTTAAAAAAAGTATATAACGTAGGTAGAAATGAATTTAAGATAATTTTACTACATCGGAAAATAACACAATTATAAATCCAGGCTATAAATTTTTTTAAGTTAAGTCCGCTAGATGCGTATTCGAAACTTAATATATTAACTATCTTTACTCTTAAAAATCTTTTTAATCTGACAGTCAAAGTTAAAGAGATTCAAAATAAAACGCATCTATTGATCGTAAGCCGACAATAGTCGGACGAATAATAGGTATATTTTTTATTCATCCGATTATATCGGACGTGTTCGATTGTCGAAGTGTCTACTCACTCGATATTATAATTATCGAGTGAGTCTAAGACTCTTCGAAAAATAATATAAAATTATATGAAATAACATAAAATTTTATTGTTCTCTTTCATTCTTTTCTCAAGAATAGATTTATTCCTAAAGAAATTTACAAATTTATTTATTTTATTTATTTATTCTTCTACTTTATTTATTTTATTTATTTTTTTCTGCTACTTACGACTAATTTGTGCTGCTACTGAGAAATCTCGACTGAAGACTACTGCTCTTTTTCTTAGCCAAACTAAAAATAATGCATGAATTCACTGTAGAAACATAGCCAGTGCCAGCCTCCGTTTTATGCCTGTTTTAGTTGAAAATTAAAAAGCAAGCCACGGTACGAAATTGCTAGAACCGGGCGTTTCAATCCTTATTGATAACTAGCAGGACCCGCGGCTTCACTCGCGCTAAAACTACAATAAATATCCATAAAGGTACTTTCATACAAACGTTCATCCCCTATTCTACCCCCTTATAAAATGAATTTCAGAAAATGCTAAAATACATATTTATTTAATTTTATTAAAGAGCATTAATATTTTTTTTGTGACATGGACAATGGACATCTGCAACACAAGAGGAGTTGCGAATGCGTTGCCGGCCTTTAAGGGACCTATAGACATTACTCTTGAAGAGCCCCATATTATAGCGCTCAGGAAATACCTCGGGAGGAAGATCATTCCACATCTTGCACGTGCGGGGTAAAAAAGATTGAGACGCACGTACATTTGTAGAATGCCAAGCATCCAAAATGTGTGGATGACATCCTACCCGACAGCGAAGGGTGCGATGATAGAAGCGCGACGGTGGCACCATGTCAAAAAGTTCATCAGAACACTCTCCATTGTATAGACGATAGAAAACACACAGAGAGCCAACATCTCTCTGAAGGCTTAGAGTGTCTAAGTCGTCTGTGAGTACGGGATCGTTGACAATACGAACTGCTCGGCGTTGGATAGAGTCAAATGGAAGAAGCTAGTATTGGGGGGCGCCGGCCCAGAGATGAGAACAGTACTCCATGAGAGGGCGAACCTGTGCTTTATAAAGCAAAAGTCGATGCCATGACGTGAAATTCTGTTTTGCTCTGTTAAAGACACCCATTTTTTTGGAAGCCAATTTGGCTTTTTCTTCCAGATGACATCTAAATTGGACGTCGCTCGATATTTCGACCCTTAGGATCCCGATACTCTTACAGATGTTAAGAGAAGTGTTCTGGAACTTTGACGCTATAGTGAATGGGGCTTTTTTCGTGGAGAACGCACAAACTAAGTTTCAAGTAATTCTGCACATAAATATTTTTTGTATTGTATTATAACGTGTTTTCCTGTGGGAATTAGATAATATTCCGCGGTAAAAAGTAGCCCATGTCACTCTCCAGCCTTCCATCTATTTCCACACAAAAAATCACGCCAATCCGTTTCTCCTTTTCGACGTGAAAGAAGGGCAAACAAACAAACTGTTATATTAAATTAATATTATATTAATTAAAATAAAACTACATGTTAGCTTAAGAATTCATCTTGTAATGTCATCGTTTTAGGTTTTCTCTAGTTTATAGTATCAACACAAAGTTTGTATATGTCTTATAAAAATATAAAATAAACTAATACAACACAAACAAACACACTTTCACATTTATAATATTAAGTATAGTATGGATGTTGCGTAGTTGAGAGTGTAGAACGTCTTTACATCAAATAGTTACACCTGAAACATTATTACTAAGACTACATAAGAACATTTTCGATATTTCTATCACTAGATTTTCTAAGCTTATGTATAAAGTAGCTTCGATTTTTCAAGGAGAAATACAAGTTTGAAATTAAGCGAGAAATTGAGAGATCATACGAAAATAGAACTAATGATGGCATATAGTGCTCGATGATTGAAAAGTGAAGCTAATAACAATAATATAAATTGATCAATCCTGCATAGATCTGCAATATCCAATTTTTATCACATTTATATGAGCATACTCAACCTCTCGCAGCTCGCTAATAATAGTCTAAGTAATAAAAAAAAGCCATGCGCCTGCATATTTTTTCGCCCTGGTTAGTTTACTCGCAGCGTAGTGATAGATATAATAATTCAAAATATGAATTTTCGCAACTAAAAATAATTGATATATCACTTAGGCCTTACAATTATTATCCTTAAGTATTATTTTATTTATCGTCACCTATTTAAATTTTTAAAGGTAAAGCACAATAGGTTTATGTATGTATTGTATTCAGCCCCTTTTAACGTTCCACTGCTGAGCACGGGCCTCCCTTCAATACGAGGTGGATCAGGCCATAGTCCACCACGCTGGCCAAGTGCGGGTTGGCGGACTGAAACATGTCTTTGGAAAACTTGCTAAGTTCTCTAAGACATGCAGGTTTCCTCACGATGTTTTCCTTCACCGTTAAGACAAGTGGTAATCATGTTGGAAATGATTCCCACATGAAAATATCAGAGGTGCGAGACCCGGAATTTGAACTCGCTTCACTCGGTTTCCCAAGCAAGCTCGTTACTACTGGGCTACCACTGCCTATAGGTTTATACGTGGCCATTATATCTTTATATTATTATTTTATATATCAATGCTACTCTTTTACTAGATCTTTAAATAATTCTAATTTATTAATAAAAATAGACTGTTAAATTAAAAGTTAGATCATACCAAACGACGTCCAAAGTATTTTATACTAAGCTTTATCTATTTTGGTTTTATGTACATATATACATTATACAAGCGTTTTTTGCTGTAAATAAAATTAAAATATTTGCATGCGTGAACCACTATTCTAGCGCTGGATTAAAATTTAGTTGCCTTAGAATGAGTACTGAGAGCTTTGTCCAAGTGAAGGATTCATTCAGAAGTTTACACGGTCATAAATAATTGGAACTTAATTTTTAACATTTTACCTATGTGTACGTACCTACAATCCAAATGAAATTTACGCGCCTGAAGTTAGTAGTATGTACATAATGTTACGAATAAGTTTAAATACTTGCTTATATATATATATATATATATATATATATATATATAATATAAGCAATCCCCCCCCCCGTTCAAATGAACAAAAAACAAATTCTTAGGTTTAACATATTAGTATACCCTTATATTTAGTATTTGTATTTTTTCTCAGAAATGAGATATTTTCCCGCGATAAAAAGTATCCTATATGTTGACCCGGATAACCAGCTATCACCATGCCAAATTTCATCAAAATCCCTCCTGTGGTTTTTCTGTGATGTGGTAACAGACAGACAGACAAAAATTTTAAAAACTATATATTCGGCCTCTGTATCGATAATAATGTTAATTTCAATAAGGTTTTCCAAAAAATATTTAATGTACAGATTCGGCTTAGTTGCAATTTTATCATATGTATAGATAATCTGAATCTCGGTAACGTCTCCAACGATTTTCATGAAATTTAGAATACAAGGGGTTTCGGGGGCGATAAATCGATCTAGATTAGTCTTATGTCTGAGAAAATGCGTGTTTTCGAATTTTCATGCGGTTTTCTTTTGCATTATTCCACGTAAAATATTATGTTCGATAATTTCGCTAATAATAATTACTTCTTAGTCGTAATCTTATAGTAAAGAAGAAGCTAAATAGTTTTGTTATAAGTAAAAATAAATAATCAAGATGTCTGATTTTGTTTTTTTTTTTAAGAACTTTTTAAATTGTATTTAATTTATATAAGCAAATAAATTGAGCCCTTGATCATCCCTATACTCCAAAAATTGTAGATTTGAGAGCACTTTGAAAAATGAATTAAAGTTATAAAGGAGCCGAGGTATGAATTTTTGAAAATGACTCAAAAATAAACTTTTCAAATTTCAAAAAATCTCCAGCTGCTGGATTTGATCATATCGATCTGAAATTATCAGAATCTTCTCCTTTTCTAACCTACTTTCAAAAAAAACAGCGTCCAAATCGGTGACTCACGCGCGCACACTTTCGTCGAAAAGTATTACAGTCAGCTATTTTTTATTTAACTCAGTATGAACTATTTGGTATTAATTTTAAATACTGAATAAAACTTTTAGCTTATTATAATATTTACATGTAAATTATTTTGCCGAAAATATACAAAAAATAATTAATAATTAATTATTAAAACAAAGTTATTATGTAGGTAACTCTCTTTATATTATCATATCATTTTGAAGATCCTAGTCTATTTTTGTAATTTTCACCAATGGCCATGTCCTAAGATAGCACCATGTGCCAATCCCAAATGAGCAACGGGTGCAGTGACTGCTAGAGCGGCAGGCGCAACCACATGGGCAGGGATGTCGATGCGTGCGGAATGAGCCCAAGCAGCTGCGGGAGCAACTGCCCAGGGGGCAACTACTGATCTCTTGCCTAACAGATGCGCGCCATGCCAGCCATGTGCAGCGGGGTCGAGTGCTTTTGCGGTATAATGGACTGCACGGTCAACATTGACACTAAGGGTATCCAGTGGGCGTCCGTCGTGGGCCAATATGTTGGCAGGCTGACCAGGAGCAAGAGAGAGTGGACCTCTATAGTTGTAAGCACCGACGGGAGCAAGAGGAGCTGCGGCAATGGGTGCAGCAACGTGAGCTGCTAAGGGAGCAGCGACTGCGGCTGCCCAAGGAGCAGCTAAGTGTCCACCCCATAGAGAAGCAACGCCACTGGGCTTGCAAGCTGCCGAAGCGAGGATCGCGGACAACACCACCAGCTTGAACATTGTGGTCTGTGTTGTAACTAGTTCCAAAACTAAATGATACTAACCCCTTGTTAGATTTAGCTTTTATACTAGTTGAACTTGTAGGCGCTACTCTTAAATACCTTTGTGACGTCACTTGTAGGGCGTTGGTCAGTAATCACACTAGGAAAGAAAACCACTGCAAGGGTAGCCCATGCATAAATATTTGCAGTTAAACAAAACTATATAATATACCTTACAGCGTTCAAAATTAGTACTAATACAGTTCGGACATCAAATATAATAATAGTTCTAAGCTTACCTTGGACTGCATGGTAAAGGTCCATTCACTTTATAGACATACTTCAAAATGTATTATTATCCTAATCTAAAAATAATAAAATAAATAAAATATTTTTCAAAATCGATCTATATAACATATATCTACTTACTTACTTACAGGTACATAAAGTATAAGATCATTCTTTTTTTGGAATGGAAAAAATATAATTTATTAAATTATTTTTCACATTTTTTTTAACAAATTCTAATTGTATAGTAAAAAAAGCGAGTATATAGCGACTCACCCTCGCTTCGCTCGGGTTCGTCCTTATTTATTTATATAATATTAAATTATTTGGATATTGTTCATACAAAAATACTAAAATCGCGATTACACGACGTATTCTACCAAACCTACTAAATTCTAATTATACCTACCAAATATACATTATTTTACGAACCGTTTCGGAGGAGTGCGAACACAAACACCATGACACGATATATATGATAGGTGTACCTCAAGTACCCACATTTCCAAAAAAGTGCGTCTGTGTGCAATTCATACATGGAAGAAGTGAAACTTCAGATAAGTAACTTAAGAAAGAATGAGATGAATATAGAGTATCAGGAGTAGGATAACTATAAGGTTTATTTTTTTATAATATTTTTACCAAGTTTAAAAGTTATTTTTCACTTTATTTGACATAAATATACATTAGGTTAGCTATCATTCATTACATACATTAGGATAGAGGTATTCAAGGCATGGCTTCTACATATATCTGCCAAATTTCTTTCAAGTCTCTTCAATGACGAAGAATTGAGTATCAAACGTCCAACAATTTACACTAAAAAAGCGTTTTTGCCGTGCACTATGACTACTTAGCCAACCGGCGAAAAAGGGCTGCGGTATAATTTCGTGCTTTAATACTGAAATATAGAGTTTTTAATTCTATTGCGCGCACTTGATGACAAAATCCCTGCAACATCGAAAAGATGTAACAAGTTACAAATCATTTGCGGCGCGGCGGATGATCGTCTTTGGTTCACGTCCGTTTCGCTGAATAGTTTTTAGTTTGTAACATGTAGGTATTATTTATATTTTCTTTGTGTTTTGTTAAGCATAAAAGGCGACATTGATCGATAATTCTCATTTTAATATTAATGTACTTATTACTGAAGTTGAGAGAAAATAGAAAGATTTAACAGAGATTATGAGATTTTAAAAATTTGGTAGGTACTAAATCCATGTAATTTATGCTACAATAACTAGTGCGAGCGTATGATCTATATTTCTTAATTCGTCATAGGTTCTTTTCTGACTTAGCCTAAATCCAATATTCAATGAACATGATTTGACACTGATTTCATAAAAATAGATCATATTCATATATTTGAAACTTATTTACTAGAACTATCTTCTCGCATATTTTCGCGGATTTCTTTTAATTTTTTGTTTCCGACGTTTCGAATGCTTTACAGCAATCATGGACACGGGAGAGACTAAGGTGTTACATTTTTACAAAAATCCTAATAAATCCGCGAAATAATCCGAAAAAATAGTTTTATTTAAAATTTCAAATATTTACGTAAATCTAAGAAAATATTATTTATATCGACGTCGGGTCGGATCATTTTCCTCTTTTAATTTCATGCAAATATGACGTAGTGTTCACGCGTCTAACGCTCAGGTGGGGCGATAGATCGATCCGCGGGGGGCAGGGTGGACCCCGGCAGCCGTCATTACTTTTACACTTCCTTACGAGACGATACGAGCCGGCGCACGCGCACGTTATCTTATAAGCAATAATTGTAAACGTAATAAACTGATTTGTTGGAAGATATTTGAAGTTTTCCTTGTTGCCCAAACACGTAGTTCTAAGTAAAATTAATTGTGAGTCTGAAGCGAGTTTAATAAGTAAGATTAAATGGGGCCAACGTACGAGTAACACACAACAAATAAATTTTTATGGTTAGTATTGTAGTGAAAATTTGAAAAAGATATTTTTTTCTAGTCAATGTATTAACTGTGAACATTTGTACTTAATAGATAAATATTATGATTAAATTATTTTTATTTTACAAAAAGCTTCTGAACTTAGTTTTTCTAATAATAATAAAAAATATAAAAAGGTGGTAGGTTGGAACTATCATGTTAGTGAAAGCCATAAGATAGCTAGATTTCATTATTCGTGTTGGTTATTAAGTGGCAAACCAACTTCTGGTTCAATTTACAATGAAATGATAAATAGTCGTAAAATTTTTAGAAACAAGCTCAAAAGGTGTCAAAATAATAGCGATCAGATTAAAATGAATATTATAGCTACTCATAAAGCAAATAAGGATTTTAAAAAATTCTGGCAGGCAACAAAACGCTCTCAAAATAGATCTCGGCTTCCACAACATTATTGAAGGAATATATGAACCTAAACAAATCGCTGACATGTTTACAAATTTTTAAAGTAGAACCTATGCCTATACAGGGAATACAAAATGAAAATGATTCCTTCTCTTTGGAACAGGAAAATATACAGTTTCTACCTAAAGACGTTGCTAAAGTTATAAAATATATGAAGCATTGAAAGTCCCCAGGACACGACGGATTGAGCATAGAGCACTTGTATTATGCAAGTGATGAAATAAATAGAGTGTTATGTACGTTTCTTAAAAATACAATAAAATATTACACAAGTAGAGATACTAACGTATATGCCTGTTTTTTAGACGTTAGCCGGGCTTTTGATTTGGTAAACTATAAACTATTGTGGTCAAAACTAAATAAATACAAAGTTCCGGTAAGTGCTATTAAATTATTGAAACATTGGTACGAAAACCAAACGAATGATGTGAGATGGGGCGACGCACTCTCTAACGACTATAGGCTAGAGTGTGGCGTTCGTCAAGGTGGGCTTACATCTGTCTGTAACAACTATACCTTCAAGACATGTAAAACCTCAGTCTCTCCCGTGACCATGGATGCTGTAAAGCATTCGAAACGTCGGGAACCAAAAATCAAAATAAATCCGCGAAAAAATCCGAAAAGATAGTTTTATTTAAAATGTCAAGTATTCGCGTAAATCTAAGAAAGTATTACAGAATCGTTGTTTTTATATTATTTTAATAACAAAGATATACCTATATAACAAATATAAAGGGTATTTTGGTACCAACTGTATTCAATTACTAATAGGTAATAAGAATGCAGTTGTGTACCCACTACATAAAGGCGCATTCCACTACCCATGAGCTACCACCTACGTATGGGATCCCTAGCTTAAAAGTCCCCAAAACTAACCCCTAAATTAAATTTCGTTTTACGATCGTCTTTAAGCCCATATTTCGAGCACCTAAATTTAGGGGGCCTTTTAATATTTAGGTGACCCCTAGCTGTCGCTGAAACAGAAACTGTCCCCTCACAGCCCCCCAAGCATGCTTAGGGGATCCCTTAAACTTAGGTGACGTTGATGAAATCGGGTTAGTGTACTATTTCTAATACCTAATGTTTAGCACTTTGTCTCCTTCTTATAAATTTGATTTAGGTTCTTGCTGCTACCAGAAATTTTCATTTTATTAAGGACATCAACTGTACCACGACAAGTCAAGTTCAAGAACCATCTTAGCGACACGTATACACTGTATAGGTTTACATTGATATAAAAAAACTCAACAGAGTTACAGAGCGAACGTCCGAAAAGTCAAAATGTTCGTTACAAAAATAAAAAAATTATATTTAGAACCTTAAAAATGTATGGAATATCGTATTTTCGATAAGTATTTTATTTATTTTTATTATATTACGTTACGTATCGGTCGAGATTATTATACGACAAATAATAGCTTTTTATTTTCAACCGACTTCAAAAAGGAGGAGGTTCTCAATTCGACTGTATGTTTTTTTTTTTTTTTTTATGTTTGTTACCTCAGAACTCCGTCATTTATTAACCGATTTGGACAATTTTTGTTTTGTTTGAAAGGGTATACTTCCAGATTGGTCCCATTTAAATTTCAAAAAAAAATACCACCCCTAAGGGTGGAAAAACCACTAATGATGAATTTAACCTACTTCTAATTGTCATATTGACTTGAAACTTTGCAAGTATTTCTAATTCCGTTGATAGTACACTGGTTCGGTGTTGTTGACCTGATCTGCTGGCAAGGCCAGAAGGTGGATAGGTGGAACTCTTCAACGGCTAATAGTAGATACTTTGAGTTTGGGCTTATTTTGTTTGATTTGATAAGCCAAACACGTTAGAATTCTTACTTTGCTACTACTGTCTACACTAAAAAGGGAAAAATAAAAACTTTTTAACAAAAAATAAAAACCGACTTCAAACAAAAGCACTAAAAAGTAAAAAATAACTGATTGGTAGTTTTCATTTACTATACATACCTAATCAAATATTTTCGAAGTCGGTGTGCTTTGGCTAAGTAATTAAAGCCTACCTATTAAATACATACCTAATCAAATATTTTCGAAATCGGTGCCAGCCCATACAAAGCAAAGCACACCGACTTCGAAAATATTTGATTAGGTATGTATAGTAAATGAAAACTACCAATCAGTTATTTTTTACTTTTTAGTGCTTTTGTTTGAAGTCGGTTTTTATTTTTTTGTTAAAAAGTTTTTATATAACGAATCGTTCATCAGTTTCTCGTACATCGTCGTACAGGAGATAAAAGTTTTATTTTTGTGACTTATTTTGTTTTGTTTCTATTCTTTATCAATATCTATCTATCTAGTAAATCTATTTAAACATAAGAATTAATTTTTTTAAGTTTTTTAATTCTTTTGTTTTCTTATACATAAATTAAGGGCCTTTATTTTTAAGCGGGGCTACTAAGCAATTACATTAACACACACCTGAGACTAATTTAAAAAAATGTAAAAGTGTGATTGTTAAGGTTATTCTTTCCAGAAATTACATGATTTTTTCAAAGAGATAACCTTTGCAAGAGTTTATTGAAAGAAGTATTATATAAGGAAAAAGTATTATACTTATTGACTAAATAATAATTATACGACTCTTTGAAATATAAAATATTAATCCCTATAAAAAAATCATTAAATCATCACAAGTACCTACTTAATAATATCCTTAAGATATACCTTAGTTTAGAAATGAAAGAAAATCGCGAAATATCGCGAAATGAATGACGATAAAAATTTATATACCTACGGATAAATATTTATCAGGCTTGGTAGATACAACACAGTGTTTTTAATATCGACCAAATGATAAATCATACAGTTTAAATAAAAACCAAAAGCTAGTTATTTCATTATTACATTTCGATTTACATAACAATAAAAACGTTTAACTATTAAATTTTACGGTGTTATGATGTTTTGACATGCATACATCTATATATACATATAATAAAACAGTAACTTAGCGAAATCGATGTGCGCGTCTCACGCAAAAAGTACTGAACCAATTGCGTAGTGATATCTTATTATTCGGGTCAAGATTTAGGATACCTTTTACTACAGAAAAATCGTCAATTTCCACGGGAAAACACAATAATTGTTTTATCGAGTCATTGTTAGAAATTTACATGTCTAACGCTGGCTAAACCTTAAGAGATACATCAAAATAAGCACTAGAAAATTGTAGGCCTTATTAATAAGGCCTATAGAAAAATCTTCAATAATTCTTTTATAATTCATAAGTCTTTCTGTCAAGGTATACTCGCAATAACTATTCGTATCCATTTAATACGTACCTAGAGAAGTACCCGAGCGAAGCGAGGATTAGTAACTAGTTTTAAATAAAACAATAAAATATTGAGTAAATCTCTTTAATTTTTATATATTAGTAAAGAGCCTATTAGTGAGTCATGTTTTTACCAAAGGTGTCCCAGGTGGACACCGTGACCCCAACCCAAAGTGGCAACTGGTGCTGCGGCGGCGACGGCGATGGGAGCAGGAGCTACAACACGGGCGGCAAGAGGCAGACCGATCGGCGCACCCCAAGGAGCCACAAGGGACCTCTTCTTCAGGAGATGAACACCATTCAAAGCCTTCGCGGTGTAGTGAACAGCACGGTCTACGTTGACATCAAGAGTGTCGAGAGGCCTGCCATCGACAGCTAAGACATTAGCGGGTTGGCCAGGGGCGAGAGATAGTGGGCCTCGGTAGTTGCCAACGCCGATGGGTACAGGAGCGAGAGGGGCAGCAGCCACTGGTGCAGCGATAGCGGCACCAACTGGAGCTACGAGCCCAGCGGCCAGGGGACCTGCAACCAGAGGAGCGGCTAAGTGTCCACCCCACAGAGGAGCGATGACACTAGGCTCGGCTGCTACTAAGGCAACCGCAACAGATAAAACCACTAGCTTAAACATATTGGTCTGTTTTACTATCAGTACACTAACTAACTGTGATAGGATCCTCGCTATTCTAGCTTTTATACTAGTTAAGTATAATTCCTGACACCTTTGTGACGTTTGATATTATGCAATAAGGCGTTGGTTGGTGATCATACTTGGAATAATACTCGAATCAAGGGTAGTAGTGGCGCTCATGTTGATTATGTATTAATAAATTCACTTGTAATATTAGACCTTATACAGACAGCTATGAATAAGATTTCTTTGCTTTAGGAACAAAAGAAAAAAATCTAATATTGAAGTTTTTTTAGAAAATGACAGTAAAAATAATAGTCTACTTCAGATAGCCTCCCAATCTATTCAGGTGCCCATTTATTTAACAAACCAAGCCAAAGACACACAACAAAAACCTATATCTATTTAAGCCTAATTATGTATAAAAAGAAGGAATGTATATATTTTTTTATTTAAATCTATACAGATAAATAAAATTGAAGTGTCTGTTTTTAATGTTAAAATAGCAGCGTTTTACTTAATGCATTTGAAATTACTTGTATATAAAAAAACACATTTTTAAAATTTTTTGTCTGTCTGCCTGTATGTTTGTTCCGGATAATCTCTGAAACGGCTGAACTGATCTTGACAAGATTGTCGCTGGAAGATAGCTGATGTTATAGGGAGTAACATAGGCAACTTTTATTTCAGAAAAAGAATTAGGGTTCCGCTCAATAAAATTAAAACGTACCTAGGGACGTATCCGAGTGAAGTGAGGGTGAGTCGCTAGTTGAATATTTATTATTATTTTATTGTTATGTTATCATTTTATTATATATTCATGTGCAATAGGTCCATTCAAGTGCGCGTGGACGACGCAATCTTAAAAATTAAACTTCGTTATGATAGGTTGAAATATTTACTTTAAACTCGGAAATTGAAATCATTAATTTGCACTACCGACCGATAAAGCCTAGTCAAATATGATAAAAAGAGGCTAGCTTCAGAATTAAAGATATTAGGCTATTAAATTTTAAATACCATCGTATTTATATGTTTGTTCAAACGTCTCATATAATCTTATTATTATACCTCACAAGTTATCAGAGATTTAAAGCCATGACAAACATTCTTTTTTTTTGTAAATCAGTTGTTTCTTTTGATCAAAATGAGATTCGAAATGATTACCAAAGTTAAATAGAAAATAATTCTATACATATTTGGTCTTAAATTATATTTAATACGATATACTACTTGAGTGAGAAGCGTTCTGTACCTGTATGTAGAGTTAAACTATGTAATTCAGTAAACAAATAAGATGATGATGATTACGAAAAAGCATAATTATAAACTGGGGAAATAAAAATATCTTTAAATGTAAATACTACCTTTTATTATAGTGTAATCCAGAACAAAATATTCAGACTAAAATGTAGAATTTTAATGCTAGAAATTAAAACACTTTTTGAACGTATGAAAAAGGTTACTTGATAATATCTGTTATTATTTCACGCGTAATTTATAATCTTTATATTGATTTATCTTTTACAGTTATACCCGCTACTGTTAATCATAATCTACCCTTAAAAAGACAGTCTCGGACGCTCAGCGTAAAATTTTGGGGATCGTTGCAACCTCTCTTTATGTGATGGTATATTGCTGTGCAAGCGTTATCTTAACTTTGGTTGTTTGTTATATTATATCTAATTATTATTAATATTTTCTTTAAGGTAGGTTATTGTTTCTTTCTTTGTTTTATATTGGCTATAACTTATAAACAGCGCGTGTGCGTGTTTATTGGGCCTTCACCCAGGTTTAATACTCGTAGAGTGGCTTATATTCCATACCACATATCTCATACAACTTGCGCATCAGAAATCTTCCCATTTCACCGCATTCGGTTAAAGGGGTTTTATAACACAAAACAATTTTAATTACAATACAAATACATTTTAATTCCGAGAAACTTTACCAGCATAGGTATGTAAGTCCTACGTAGTAGATATATGTTCTTCAGTTGCCTATTTATTCTATGAGAGCTAAATGCTAATAATAATTTACGTCTAATCAATAACGTGACTGTGTGATTGGTAAAGTGACGGACGCATTATACAATAAATAAATAGTTATCAAATAAATAATTTAAGCATATATCTTTAATTTTGTTATATGCTGTATAACCATCAGTTATGTGAATAACGGAAAATAAGATTTTGTAACTTACTGATATATTATTTAGGAAATCATTATGGAAATATTATATAGGACAAGGCAAGTGCTCGGATTTAAATTAATGTATTAACTGTAATTCAACAGAGCATGACTTGCTTCACGTCTTTGTGATTAGGATCTTCGCTAAACAGTGATTTTACCAAAGCATGTCAACTGATATACAAGTCCGTCCAATCGCGCGTTAATTTTAAAGTATCTACTGTCTATGTATGAATTAATATTGTATGAATAAATATTTATAATTTTATGTTTTTATCTTTTGTTCTACAATTTGAGTTCATTTTATGTTTGTATTGCTTTTCCCACCAAAGAGGTGTCCTCGCCTCCTCGTCTCGACAGAATACCATTACTAGCCCTACGCTACACTTCCTGTCCTCCAAACTGTCCAATACATTATTTATATTTAATACTGTCGACAATATTAATTATTTATAAAAGATAAATAACAACAGTAAAGTTGTTTTCGTGTCTATTTGTTGAAATGAAATATTTTATGTTTTTTATATAGTTCTTAAGTCTAGTACTAAAATTAAATGTATCGATAAGAATCTTTTGCTTTGATACTAACATAAAATAAAATAAAAATATTTGGGTAACTCTCTTTATTTAGTCATATTTAGCACATATGTTTGTAGCCTTTTCATTGCTATGTTTACCAAATGTGTCCCAGACGGACACCATGACCCCAACCCAAGGCAGCAACTGGTGCGGCGGCGGCAACGGCGATAGGGGCAGGAGCAGCAACACGGGCGGCAAGAGGTAGACCAACCGGCGCACCCCAAGGAGCCACAAGTGACCTCTTCTTCAGGAAATGAACACCATTCAAAGCCTTCGCGGTGTAGTGAACAGCACGGTCTACGTTGACATCAAGAGTGTCGAGAGGCCTGCCATCGACAGCTAAGACATTAGCGGGTTGGCCAGGCGCAAGAGATAGTGGGCCTCGGTAGTTCCCAACGCCGATGGGTACAGGAGCGAGAGGGGCACAACTGGAGCAACAAGCCCAGCGGCCAGGGGACCAGCAACCAGTGGAGCGGCTAAGTGTCCACCCCACAGAGGAGCGATGACACTAGGCTCGGCTGCTACTAAGGCAACCGCGACAGATAAAACCACTAGTTTCAACATATTGGTCTGTTTTACTCTCAGTTCACTAACTAACTGTGCAAGAATCCTCGTTATTCTAGCTTTTATACTAGTTAAGTATAATTCCTGACACCTTTATGACGTTTGATATTATGCAATAAGGCGTTGGTTGGTGATCATACTCGGAAAGATACTCGCATCAAGGGTAGCACTGGTGCTACTATCGGCTTTCAGTCAAAAAAACTTACTATATTAGACCTTACAGTGCTAGAAATTAGTTACATGTGTGCAACGTTAAGGCAAGATATGAAAACAATATTTCCGCGTCATAAAGGACCACTCACTTTATTTATAATATATGTTAAAATATACTAATGGTATATTATATAAATACAACAAAGCATACCCTATACACCCTTATAAGTATAACCCTATAACTGATAGTGTAAACACCGAATTCAAAGAATACTTTCTAAATATTTTATTAACTTAAAACACTCAATCTCAATAACTTATTAAAATGAGTCTCAAGTTTTATAAAACCTGAATATTTTACAAGTAACTAATAGTTCATAATGTGTCGGCTACATTGCTTGTCCTACTTTACTATTATTAAATAAACATTTTAAATAAACTTCCACTTTTTTCTAAAAACCTATTTAAATTTCACCCTTCAAGATCAACAATCTGAAACGGCTAACCAAAGGCGTCAAGTTACAAAGTTAATTTCTAAGAAAAAACCACTATAGCCCTATATTTAATAGGGGAACGGTTTTAACATTACGAGTTTATTTAAAAAAAGGAAAATATAATTTGTAGCACGTTAAAGGGGTTCTTCATTTAATAATTTGTTGTTTCTGTTGTATTTTTTTAATAATTGTAATTGTACTTTTAATATTTTAATGAATTATGTTTAAACGCAATTACATATATTTTGATAGTTTTGTGTAGTGTAATTTTTCGCTGCATGTACCTATTGTTCTCTATTATATGTATACGTGTTTCTTTGCAATGCGTGTAACACCTATAATTAAGATAACATTTAGGCTCCTTGTGGGCATGTATAGTTCTGCGTGTTTTTGTTTATGTATATCTTGTTGGTGTAAATAAATAAATAATTTTTAAATGTATATAATAAAAAAAATCTTTTGCACACTATACTTTTTGTGCTTATTAAAAAAATCATAATGTTTACCTCGTATAATTAATTGGATTAAGGATTATATCGGTACGTTTTGTTCTGAAAGGGCGGAGTCTCCTAATACAGGCAAAAATTACTTGCTTAAAAGAGGACCTCAATCACAAACTTTGTTAATACTATAATCTCTTTATGCAAATAAAATATTTCTATTTATTAAATAAAACTATCTTTTCGGATTATTTCGCGGATTAATTTTGATTTTTGGTTCCCGACGTTTCGAATGCTTTACAGCATCCATGGTCACGGGAGAGACTGAGGTGTTACATGTCTTAAAGATATAGTTGTTACAGACAGCCTACCCACAATCAACAAAATGAAAATTGCACCAATTACATTACAATATTTTAACTTTAAACATTTTTATAATTTTAATTATAATTGAATATGGAAAATTATTTATTTAATTTTTGCTATTATTTTTATAGTTATTACAATTTTAAAAATATTAATTAGTAATCTATATTTAGTGTTGCCATTATTATATTTATAACCATAAAGAAAAATAATAAATATAGTATTAATTATTTAAGCCATATAATTGTTCAATGTGTAATTTAAAAAAGTTAAAATTAATTAAGGATTATAATTTTAATTTAGTTTGCTATTATTTAAAAACAAACTTACTAAGCAACACTATTAATATATACTTTTACAAATGAAAAATGAAAAATATCAATCTGATAAGCTGTCATTTTGATCTACACAGTATGAACTTACTACATCTGCCTGTCTGTTATGTTTATATTTATTATTTGATTTTATTATATTAATAACAGGATCCCATGACGATGGTAGTACCCAGCCATCTTCCCTATTGAAATTTGGATGTTTTTTAATGTCTATAGCTTCTCGAATCATTCTAGGGCGATATCGGTTTTCTTTCGCCAGGATTTGAGGTCTATCGAAACGAATATAATGGCTTGGGCGGTCCTGGCTATGTTTACAGACAGCAGATGTTGTATTGCGACGGTGCTTCACATCAGCTATGTGTTCTTTGACCCGGGTTCTAATGGATCGCTTTGTTTGTCCAATGTAAGAGAGCCCACAATCACAATCAAGCTTGTAAACTCCTGCATCTTGTAGAGGGATGTGGCACTTGACAGGTGGTAAGAACTGACTAATTTTCTTTGGCGGCTTGAAGTAAGTTTTAATTGAAGCTCGCTTTAGAATGTAGCCAATCTTGTCAGTGACTCCTTTCATGTATGGCAAGACTGCAGGGACGCGCTCGACTGTGGCTGGTTTTACTCGGTCACTGTGACGCAGGCGCGGCACTTGCAGCTTGTTGTCACGCAGAACTTGCTTGACATGTTGCAGTTCTCCGGCCAGGTGTTGCTCGTCACAGATCCCGCGCGCTCTCTGAAACAAAGATTTTCCCACGGTAGCTAACTGTGAAGGATGGTGGTGAGATTCACCGTTCAGGTACCTATCAGTATGGGTCTTCTTTCTATACACAGTATGACTCAAGGTGTTATCTGTGTTACGTTTAACTAATACATCTAGGAAAGCTAAGGTATTGTCTGATTCTAATTCCATTGTAAATTGTATTTTAGGATTTATAGAATTAAGGTGTTCTAAGAATACAGTTATTTTATCAGATGGTAATATTGTGAAAGTGTCATCTACATACCGCTTGTAGAAACGAGGGGTCACGGGTGATGTATTCAGAGCAGTCTCCTCGAAGTCCTCCATGAAGATGTCGGCTACGACGGGGGAGACTGGCGAACCCATGGCCACTCCATCCACTTGCCTATAGAATTCACCATTCCACAGTAGATAGCCAGATGTTAGGCAGTGTTTTAAAAGTTCAATGTATTCTATTGACATGTTGTGATCTAGTAGCTTCCTAGATATTATTTCAATACAGTCTTCCACTGGTAGGCTGGTAAATAAAGACTGTACATCGAAACTAACCATTGTTTCATTGTCCATGAGTTTTAGGTGTTTAACTTCATTGACAAAATGGTAAGAGTCCTTTGTGAACGCTCTTGTTAATCCTCTGAGTGGTGAGAGTACTTTTGCTACTAGTTTAGCCAATTTGTAAGTCGGTGAGTCGATCTGACTCACAATTGGACGTAGCGGAGCGTTGGTCTTGTGTATTTTCGGAAGTCCATACAACTTAGGTGGTTTTGCACATGATGGAATAAGATTTTTAACATCAAGATTTAATGTGTCGGAGTGTTCCTTAATTAGCTTTTTAGTATTATTTAAAACGGTGGTAGTTGGATCCGTTTTAACCTTTTTGTACGTGCTCTCGTCCGACAAAAGTTGTTTAATTTTATCATTATAATCTGATGTATCCATCACAACGGTTGCATTTCCTTTGTCTGCGCGTAGAACGGTGATGTCTGACCTATTGCGTAGGTTCTTCAACGCTAAATACTCTTGTTTATTGAGGTTTGGTTTGGGCCTAGTACTACGACGTAATAAAGACGAAACATCTTGACGTATGGCCTCCATATCCTCAGTTTTCATATTGTTTTGGGCCAGGGCATCTTCAACTGCGCAAATAATGTTTTCATAAGGAATGCGCGTAGGCGTTACAGCAAAATTCAAACCTTTATTTACGTCGTAGTACTAGGCCCAAACCAAACCTCAATAAACAAGAGTATTTAGCGTTGAAGAACCTACGCAATAGGTCAGACATCACCGTTCTACGCGCAGACAAAGGAAATGCAACCGTTGTGATGGATACATCAGATTATAATGATAAAATTAAACAACTTTTGTCGGACGAGAGCACGTACAAAAAGGTTAAAACGGATCCAACTACCACCGTTTTAAATAATACTAAAAAGCTAATTAAGGAACACTCCGACACATTAAATCTTGATGTTAAAAATCTTATTCCATCATGTGCAAAACCACCTAAGTTGTATGGACTTCCGAAAATATACAAGACCAACGCTCCGCTACGTCCAATTGTGAGTCAGATCGACTCACCGACTTACAAATTGGCTAAACTAGTAGCAAAAGTACTCTCACCACTCAGAGGATTAACAAGAGCGTTCACAAAGGACTCTTACCATTTTGTCAATGAAGTTAAACACCTAAAACTCATGGACAATGAAACAATGGTTAGTTTCGATGTACAGTCTTTATTTACCAGCCTACCAGTGGAAGACTGTATTGAAATAATATCTAGGAAGCTACTAGATCACAACATGTCAATAGAATACATTGAACTTTTAAAACACTGCCTAACATCTGGCTATCTACTGTGGAATGGTGAATTCTATAGGCAAGTGGATGGAGTGGCCATGGGTTCGCCAGTCTCCCCCGTCGTAGCCGACATCTTCATGGAGGACTTCGAGGAGACTGCTCTGAATACATCACCCGTGACCCCTCGTTTCTACAAGCGGTATGTAGATGACACTTTCACAATATTACCATCTGATAAAATAACTGTATTCTTAGAACACCTTAATTCTATAAATCCTAAAATACAATTTACAATGGAATTAGAATCAGACAATACCTTAGCTTTCCTAGATGTATTAGTTAAACGTAACACAGATAACACCTTGAGTCATACTGTGTATAGAAAGAAGACCCATACTGATAGGTACCTGAACGGTGAATCTCACCACCATCCTTCACAGTTAGCTACCGTGGGAAAATCTTTGTTTCAGAGAGCGCGCGGGATCTGTGACGAGCAACACCTGGCCGGAGAACTGCAACATGTCAAGCAAGTTCTGCGTGACAACAAGCTGCAAGTGCCGCGCCTGCGTCACAGTGACCGAGTAAAACCAGCCACAGTCGAGCGCGTCCCTGCAGTCTTGCCATACATGAAAGGAGTCACTGACAAGATTGGCTACATTCTAAAGTGAGCTTCAATTAAAAC